AGGATGGTGCTGGGGCCGGTGGCCATGAGCCAGCCCAGCTGCCAGCATGCTCTGCCTGTGGACACGTCCCCGGGCTCGGGCAGAGCTGTCCCTAAGGACATGGGTGCTGCTTGTGCTCTTCGAGGGAAGACCCCAGGTGGACACCACCCAGGTGGCCGCCCCGGGGGCTAGGTGAGCCCAGGAGTGGTGACCATGCTGTCCAGCTTGTGCTGGGACCATGAGTGGGGCTGACTGGCACGGCTCTCTGGTGGGGCTATCTCACGACGGTCTCTGGTAGGGGCTATCTCATGAGGGTCTCCAGCAGGTCTGTTTGGGGAAGGTCTACAGTGGGGCTACCCAGAAGGCCTCTCCAGCTGTGCACTGGGCAGGTTGTCTCCAATCATCCCTCCCCATGGCTGGTGGTGTCCCCATACACATGGGGGTGCACCCCAGAGCCCTCACCCCAAGGGTGAGGTCCCCAGGTATGCCCCTGGGCAGCTGGATTTGCCCTTCTGGGTGCCTGCTGCCCCCGGGAGGTGGGACGATGGCACTGCTTTTGCTTGGCTGGGAGGTGGAGAGGGGAGAGAAATGACATAGGTTTAAAAACAGGTTTGGGGTGCCAATTTTCGGAAGGCGGGTCGGGAGGAAAGCCACGTCTGTGTGTTGGGGTGGAAGGGCAGGCCCTCCTCTGGCGGGGCTGGGCAGGCTCTGCTCCCAGCCCTGAGCTGCCAGGGCCACCCCAGGGAGGGGGCTCTCTGTGGAGGCAAGGGGAAGTGTGTGGGGGTCCCCGTCGCCTGTGCCTGCCCTGCTGGGGCCAGCCTCCCTGGGGAGGTGGTGCCCAGGGACACCCAACCCGGCTCTGCCCATGTGCCTGCCCCCCCCCGTGCCCACGGCAGTGCCGGGGGCTGACCAGGGACCCCAGGCTGGCGTCACCTCGTGCCTAGCAGCGGTGCCTGGGGGTAATCCCAGGGCCAGGGGCTGATGGCAGTGGGGGGACGCTGCTGGTGTCCCTGCCCATTTGCCCATGCTGCCCGTCTCTCTGGGAGGGCTCTGCCACCAGCACAGCCCCAGGGAATAGGAGACCTCTGCATGCCCGGCTCCGCTGAAACCTGAACAGGCGCCTGGGCAGGCGGGCACAGATGGGGGGGGGGCTTGCTGCCAGCCCCCCGGCACACACCATGGGCTGTGGAGTACCTGGCTGCGAGCACGCAGGCTGGCAGCTGTGGCAGGCTTGGTGCTAAAGCCGGATTACCACCCGGAATAGTCCCGCAGCCCCAGCTGGGGCGGATTAGCCGGGATTCATCTGCAGAGGGAGAGGAGATGGGGACGGGGGGTCTCTGCCCTGCAGGGGTCCCCAGCCCAAGAGAGCACCCACCCCCTGCCAGGGAGACCCGGCTCCTTTGGCCCCCACGGGTGAGAGCAGCGGGTGCCCATGGATGGGTGTCACGGGCTGTGGGGACACAGTGGGTCATCGCACCCCAGGCTGGCACTGCGGGGGCAGGCAGGGGCTGCCAGTCCCCCTGTGGGCCCTATTCCCGCTGGCACGCTGTGCTCCAGCGGGGACCGTGCCCTGCTGGTGCAGCACAAGAGCTAGGCTTTCCCGGGGTGATACGCATCCTCCTTGCCATGCTGTCGGACGTGATGGACCCCCCATCTGACATGTCCTGTTGGCATTGCCGACAGAACTCCCCTGCCCTGGTTCCCTCGCTTCTGGCTGTGCCTTGCTCCCCGGCTGGGATTTTCCACCTTCCAAATAAAGTCTGGGTGGACGCGAGGTGTCAGGCAGTGAGATGCAGCCCCTTCCAGGACCAGATCCCCCACTGTGGTGCCCCAGCCCTCGGGGAAGGCTGGCAGGGGGCTGGGGTGAGCCCAGGGCTGCCTGCCTGCCAGGGCAGGGAAGGGATCCGGGAGCCCTGCTGCCCCACACACGTGTCCCCATCCTGGCGAGGGGGGAGGCATCTGTGCCGGCCGGGACACAGCGTGCGAGACCAAACGTAGCCTCCCCTGGTGCGCAGACGTGGCCGGCGGGGAGGGTACGTGCGGCCCCACGCATACAGCTCGGCGTTCACCGCGGGGGGGCTGTGGGACGTCACTGGGGCCTGGCTTGGGCTGGCTGGCCATGCCAGAGGGTTGGTGGGGTGGACAATGTCCCTGGTGTCACCCAGTGGTGGGGCAGCAGGAGCAGCCCATGGGAAAGCCGGGCTGGGGCTGTCGTGCAGTGGGGCTGTCGCCGTCCTTGTCACCCGGAGCCAGCAGGCAGCAGAGAGGCGCACGCCGGGAAATCAGCACAGCTGGCGCAGCAGCCCCAGGGGCATGGCCCTGGGTGCCACAGCGGGGAGGTTCCGTGCCCATGCACGTGGCTGTACCCATGCCATCAGGGTGGGCGAGCGGGCGCTGGGGCTGGTGGTCAGGAGGGGGACGATGTCAGGCAGCACATGGGCTGCCCAGTGTGGCAGGGAGGCTGGCAGCACCCCCTCTGTGTGGCGGCAGGGCAGCCCTGTGGTGGGCTGGGGCTCTGGGGCCGGCATGCTGCGGGAAGGGGTCCCTGGGGAGATGCTCTTTGCCCAGAGCAGGGCGTCCCCATCTGAGGTGGGCACACAGGGACAGGGGTGAACCTGCCACCCACAGCCCTGGGGGGGACCCACGCCACCCCCCCAGGGCCATCCACTGCTCTATGTATTTGCTGTTCTGCCCAGCCTTATCGCAAGGCAAACAGCGGCGGGCAGGGCACGCTCTGCCCGATCGAAGCGTCTCCTGTTCCCTCCCCTTTCATCTCCTCCCCTTCCCCAGCCACCGCCACTGGGAGACCCTGGCTGGGGGGCAAAGGCCGGGGCCGGCCGGGGAGGTGGCAGTGAGCGGTGCCAGGGCTGTGCCAGGGCTGTGCCAGGGCTGTGCCAGCACTGCCTGGCAGGAGGAAGCGTCTGGGTGGCGGTGCTAAGCCTGGTGCATGCAAAGTGAGCCCGGCCGTGCCGCTTGCTATTCTGAGAGGTGCTTGGGGGAAGAAACTGGTATTTCCTGAGCCGTCCGGCAAGGTGTAATTATAACCTGGGAGAAGAAAGGGGCTGCAGAGGAGAGCGCCCAGCCTCTCCGGCGCCCGCGGGGGAGCAGGCAGCTCCTGCCCGCTGCCGGTGGGATGCAGCGGAGCCCTGCCTGTGGGCAGCCTGGCAGTGCTGGGGGGATTCGGGGAGGTGGTGGAGCACTGGGGATCTGGTGGTCCCACTCAAGCCCGGCACTGGGAGCGGCGGGTTCAGCGATGCCCTCCTGCGGAGGCAGGAAGGCGCAGAGTTAACGGCGGAGTTTGGATGTGCTGGCAGCCTTGTTGGTGCCTGGATCCGGCCCAAGCGGAGGCCTAGTGTAGGGGATAAATCATCACCCAGCACCCGCCCTGCGCTTCGCTCTCTTCCCCCACACGGCTGAGCCTCCCTGCTCTGGTCCCCTCTGGCTGGCGCCCTGACTCAGTTTCCCCACCAGGCTGTGTGCTGTGTGTGGGGGAGGCCCTGCTGTGTGCCCCCCACCCCAGGCCTGCCTTAGGGGCTCCCCCCCCCGGCGCTGCTAGTAGCCAGTGCATGGCCTGGGATGACCCTACCCGGTCTCCTCAGTGGCCTGGATGGGCAGGGACAGGCAGGGCAGCGGCTCAGGAGCCCAGAGGTGCTGGCACCCATGCTCTGCCGTGGCATCCTTCCCCTGCATGCCTGGGGGGGGTGCTGTCCCCGGCATATCGCTGCCCCGGCAGTGCCATGCAAAGACTCAGACAGTCCCTGGGGCCTGATCAGCACAAAGACTGGCACATCCCCTGCTCACCCCACGGGGACCCCAGACACGAGGGTGATAGGGCAGCAGGGAGCTCCCAGGGACTGTGCCGCATCCCGGCCAGCCCTTGCCTTGGGCTGGGTGGCATCGTCCTGTGGCCCTGAGGTGGAGACCCCCGGACAGACTGGGGGGACATCAGCCCCCTAGGGCATTGGGGGGAGGTGGGGGATCCTGCCCCGGCAGCCAGCCTGCCCTAGAAAGCCACCCTGTGCTGTTTCCCAGTGGGGTGGGGAGGGCTGGGGCTTGCACAGAGGCGGCTTTGTGCGGCGTGCCAAGGCGTCCTGCGCTCGGCAGCCCAGCCACCTTCTCCTGCCAAGGAGCTGTCTCCTGGCCCTGCTCTCTTTCCTGCTCCGTTTGTCCAGCCCTGACATGCCCCTAAGCCCCCTGCCTTGGCACCCTGGCAGTGCCGGCCTTGGGCGGCAGGACGCGGGTGAGACCTTCGCGCTGGGCAGCGCCACAGGCTTTACGTAACAGAGGTGGCTGGGGCGTCCCCGAGCTCCTCACTCCATCCCCAGCTGCCCTCCAAAACGCCCCTGCTCGCTTGTCAGCACCCGTCTCCAGGAGGGGAAACTGAGGCACGGAGCTGAGAGCTGCGGGCACAGGAGCGGAGGTGGGCAGGCATCGCGGACAGAGGCTCCGGGGCTGGTGCCGTGCTGTGGGCAGGGGAGCAGAGGGGCCCCGCAGGGTGGGCTGCAGGACGCTGGCTGGGCAAGGGGACGGTTCCCGCTGGGGACCCTTGTGGGGCTGTCAGAGCTGGGTCGAGCTCCATGTGTACTGAGCAGGCGGAAGGGATTCGTCCAGCCGTGGTGATGGCTGGACAGGCATCCCTGGCATCCCCAGGTGCCTGTCCCTGCAACGCCGCCAGCGCTGGTGCTGCGCTTGAATCTGCATCCCCGGCTGATGAGAGACCTGTAGGAACTCCTGCCCAGAGCTGGACCCCCATTGCCCCCCTCTTGCAGAGCCTGAGGAGAGCCCACAGCGAGCCCAGCCGCTTCCCCGCCATGGACGCCACGGACGTGCCCCTCCAGGCCGAGATGGTGGAGCTGGTGCCCAACGGGAAGCACACGGCCGCGCTCACTGCCTCCGCCGTCCCCTCGCTGGCGGGTGACAGGTAGAGGCGTGGGGACAAGCGGGGGTGCCAGCACCCCAGGGGGGTCCTCGTGGCTGTCTCTGCCCACACGGTGTCAGCCAGCACTGTCTGGGGTGGGGACATGGCAGCCCCTGGCTCTGCTTCATCGTCACCCTCCTCCCTCCGGTGGCCAGGTTTGAGGAGAACCAGTCTGGTGTGGCAGAGATGGAGGAATTCTTGCCCCATGGCACCGAGAAGAAGCAGACGCACTTCACCGATGTGAGTATCAGCGCAGGCACTGCGGTGGCGGTGGGACGGGGGCAGCTCCTGGTGTGACCAGTGCGTCCCCTCCCCATTGTCTCTTATGTGTGCAGTTCGAAGGGAAGACATCTTTTGGGATGTCCATCTTCAACCTGAGCAATGCCATCATGGGCAGCGGTATCCTGGGGCTGGCCTATGCCATGGCCAACACCGGCATCATTCTCTTCCTGTGAGTGCTGTGGGGACTTGGGGGGGTGGGGGAGGCTGGGTTGGGGGGGAGCTTCTCCACAGGGATCAGTGTGTGCCAGAGGTACAGGTGAGAAAGGGATCCCTGGCCTGGGGTAATGCAGGGACTGGGGTCTGCTGCCTGAGCAATCCCCCTCCCTGGAATGAGCCTGTCTGCCCCTGCCAGGCACTGTGCCCCTCTGGGGAGGAGGAGGATGAGGGTGAAGGCTTGACTTCCTTAATACAAAACCAGATGGCCCAAAGGACACAGGTGCTGGCTCCCCTTGGGCGTGGGGACACAGACCCACAGGGTTGGGGCAGCCCATGGTTGTGGGGTGTCCATACCCCACAGCCCATCCACCCTGCGAGCACCCGGCTGGTGCCAAGGCTAGGGGCTGAGTGGGCTGCCAGGATGGCTGCCCGCAGGCAGAGCCTGCCCACGTGGGGCTTGCCCTGTGGCTGTGTCCAAGCCCGGTGCTGTGACCCACGGGTGACGGTGCTGTCCTTCTACAGCTTCCTCCTGACGGCAGTGGCCCTGCTCTCCAGCTACTCCATCCACCTGCTGCTCAAGTCCTCCGGCATCGTGGGTGAGTGCCGGCTCCTGGCGGGGCTGTGCTGGGGGATCCCCTCCTGACCCTCACCTCACCACGGCTCCCCTTCCTGTAGGCATCCGCGCCTACGAGCAGCTGGGCTATCGAGCCTTCGGCACACCGGGGAAGCTGGCTGCAGCCATCGCCATCACACTGCAGAACATCGGAGGTGAGGACGGGGCTGTGGGGGAGACTTGGGGGGGCTGGGAGGGGGACACAGGACCAGAGCACACCGGCACAGCATGACCTCGCTCTGCCCCACAGCCATGTCCAGCTACCTGTACATCGTCAAATCCGAAGTGCCTCTTGTCATCCAGACCTTCCTCAACCTGGAGGAGAAGACCACGTAAGTGCCTCCTGCCCACACTGCCCGCATGCCTTCCCCAGGAAGGCACCGGGGCTTCGGCTCCAGCTGTGCAGCCTGTGGCAGGGATTTAGTGCCATTAAGCCACTACTATTTTTGATAACTGTCAGTGCTGAATAAGCCCCCAGGTGGGATTAAACCAGGCTGAACTTCCAATCCGTGTTCCTCGCATCCCCTTGTGATCAGGCTTTCCTCCTTGAGCAGAGCTCAGGGCTGCAGGGCAGGGGGGGCTCTGTTTGGGAATGGGTCCCCCTGCACCGTGCCCACATCCCCACCCGGCAGCACAGGGGATGAGAGCTGGGCAGATGCTGGGCAGAGCTGCCACTGGGACCTCCACCAGTCTGGAACTGGGCATCCCAGCTGCTCTGGGGTGCTTGACCACACGTGGGACCAGGGCTGGGCAGGGTTCCTGCTCCGCAGGTGGCCGGGGGCAGCTCCCTGCACCTGGGGCATCGAGGTCCTGGATGAGCCCCCTTGCAAATGCTGGTACACTGGTCCCCACATCCTCCTGCTGCTGGGCTGTCCACTGGCAAACATGTGCTCAGAACAGCAGTTCTCAGCCTGCCTGCAGCAGCTCTAGCCCTTGGGGGTGCACCACTGTGGAGGTAGGCAGGACCCCAGCTCAAGGGCCCCCAGGGACTCTGGCCTCAGGGGTCCCCAGGGATGCCAGCCTTGGGGGATGCCAGCATCCCTGGGGATGCCAGTTCAGGGGTCAAGGGATACCAGCTCCAGGGTCCCTAGAGATGCCAGCTCAGGGGTCCCCACAGATGACAGACAGCACCCTCTCTGCAACGGATGCCTGTGCCTCCCGTGCTCCATCGGAGTAGGGCGGTGAGCAGGCCCTCTGCTTCCAGGGACTGGTACATGAATGGGAACTACCTGGTGATCCTGGTTTCTGTCACCATTATCCTGCCCCTGGCCCTCATGAAGCAGCTGGGTAAGTCAGGGGGATGCTGCGTGTGGCACCGGGGTCCAGCACTCTGGGGCTCCTGCAGAGTGATGGTGCCAGCCCGGGGGTTGTGGGCAAGGAGGGGGCTCCCAGCCAGCGTGGGGTCCTGCACGCACCCACTGGCTGCTCTCTTCCCTCCCTAGGCTACCTCGGCTATGCCAGCGGCTTCTCCCTCAGCTGTATGGGCTTCTTCCTCATCTCGGTGAGCGCCTGACGGCATGTGCCGGTGGCTCAGGATGCCAAGCATCTCTTCTGCCGCGTGCATGGCTCCACCAGCGCAGCTGTGTGCTGTGGGGACAGTGGGGACAGCGGGTGCTCCGGGCTGCTGAGACGCCGTGGCGGTGCTGTCATGCTGCTGGGTTATTTTCGGCTGAAGCTGCTGAGTGCCGGGGAGAGGGGAAGGGAGAGGGTGCCGGGGGGGAACCACACACGTGGCCCCTCCACATGCTGCCGCCCCACTCGCCCCCCTCCCGGTGCTGACCGTCCCTGTGTCCCCCCCACCCCAGGTCATCTATAAGAAGTTCCAGATCCCCTGCCCGCTCCCTGAGCAGGAGGGGAACCTCACAGGGAGCCTCAACACCACCCCCGTCAGCACCAGTGACTACCAGAATGGCTACACCATCCTCCAGGCCCCTGAGCAGGGCACCTGCACCCCCAGCTTCTTCACCCTGAACTCCCAGGTAGGTGTCCGGGATGCATCCCTGGGGCTCTGGGTCAGCCCCCACCCCGTGCACCCCATGAAGGTGGGTGGTCCCAGCACTGGTGGCACCCGCCAGCTTGGCTGCTGCGCTCAGCCGCCCTCCTCTCGCACAGACAGCATACACCATCCCCATCATGGCCTTCGCCTTCGTCTGCCACCCCGAGGTCCTGCCCATCTACACCGAGCTGAAGGAGTGAGTCCTGGGTGGGGACATCCATGGGGGAGACGTTTTGTCTGGTACCCATGCAAAGGCAGCACCCTCTGGGGGTGGGGCCTGTGCTGGGGTGTCACAGGGGTACAAGGGGATATGGTGGGTGACAGGGCACCTGGGAGGTGGGTGTTATGGCCCAGGATGAGTGTGTGGTCGGTTGGTGGTGGGTGACCTGACCCACCGTGCAGCTCGGGGAGGGGGACGCAGCCCCTCTCCACACAGCCCCGCTGTACCCCAGGGTGCTCCGGCATCACCCCTCCTCGCCGGGTGGTCGCTCGGTGCCACGGGAGTGGGGTGGGCTGGGCTGCAGGGGCCATGCTGAGCCTGCTGTCTCCCACAGCCCCTCCAAGAAGAAGATGCAGTGCATCTCCAACATCTCCATCATGGTCATGTACCTCATGTACTTCTTGGCCGCCCTCTTCGGCTACCTCACATTCTACGGTGAGCCCTCAGGGAGGGGGCCGGGGGCCCTGACGGCACACTGGCACCGGAGTGGTGGCGGTGCCGGGGCTGACCCAGCAGCTCCCCACTGGTGCCCGCAGGCCGCGTGGAGTCGGAGCTGCTGCACACCTACAACAAGGTGGACCCCTTTGACGTGCTCATACTGTGCGTGCGGGTGGCTGTGCTGACGGCCGTCACCCTCACCGTCCCCATCGTCCTCTTCCCGGTGAGTGGCCCTGCGGGGCTGCCAGGTGGCACCACCCCCCCACCCCCCCCAGCTGCCACAGGGCTTTGGCACCAGGCTTTGAGAGGGGAAACTGAGGCAGCGATGGGGCTGAGACATGGGGACAGGGTGGCAGGGAAGGGCAGGGTTGCAGGGATTGGGGAACAGGACCAGCTGGGTGTCAGGGACAGGGTTGGGGCAGGGGAAGGGGTGACAGAGACCGGCAGGACTGCGGGGACAGTGGGTGGGATGGGCCCTGGCTCCAAGGATGGAGTGTGACACCCTGTCCCTGTCGTTGTCCCCAGGTGCGCCGGGCCATCCAGCAGATGCTGTTCCAAGGGAAGGACTTCAGCTGGATCCGCCATGTCAGCATCGCCGTGGTCCTGCTGACCTTCATCAACCTCTTGGTCATCTTCGCCCCCTCCATCCTTGGCATCTTTGGCCTGATCGGTGTGTGGCAGCGTCCTGCTCCTGTCCCTCCTTGGGCACTGGGTGTTGTGGGCAGCACTGGGTGTTGTGGGCACCCCCCACCCTGCCTGGCACTCAGCTTTGCCTGACCCCCCCCGTGCCTCAGTTTCCCCTTCTCACTGTGCCAGGACCAGGTTGCACATCGGGCGTCCCCCAGCCCCATCCCTGTCCCTGCAGGCTGGTTCCTGTGGTGCGGTGCCAGCTGCTTGCCGCACTGCTGGACGGTGCTTGCTCTTCCCCTGGACATTTCCCACCCTGCTCGGTGCCCGGCTCAGTGCCAAGGCCCTGGCTGCGGAGGGGGGGCATGGGGACGGGGCCAGCACATGGCGTCCCTGGGTTCCTGGAAGGCTTTGCCAGGGCCGGGGGTGGCGGGAGG